AGTCACAATAACGTGGCTAAAGTATGTTGACCAGACCACACATTAGAAGGTGAAGGGACGACGACGTTTCGGTCCATCCTGGACCATTCTCAAGTCGATTGTGAGAATGGTCCAGGACGGACCGAAACGTCGTCGTCCCTTCACCTTCTAGTGTGTGGTCTGGTAAAAAAAAAACATTATTTAAAGACATTAAACTAATAACAATTATTAAAAATAATTTACCCCCCCCCTCTAACCTCTCACTAGGGAAAAGACATAAGAGAAAGCATTACAGAAGTCTTCAGCAGAGACATGAGCAGCTGTGACGGGGCGCCCTCGCCCAAGGCGCGCTGACACAGTAGATAGGTCCTCTCTCTCTCTCTCTCTCTCACGGCACCCTCACATACACACTTGTGATTACACTCCTTACTCTCCCTCACACCTCCCTCACTTCCTCTCTTCCCTCTCTTTCTTGCTCTCCTTCCCTCTTGCCACTCTTCATCTTTCTTCTCACTTTACCTTTCATTCTAATTTTATCTTATTCCTTTACCGCCTTCTCTCTTCCTTCATCTAATTAATTCTCTATTTCTTTCCTTCCTTCACTAGGCACCTCTCCATCCCTCTTTTTTTGCTTTGTAATTAACAAATTCAGAAATATCCTCATTTATACGGCAATGTTAGACTATATGAAGGGCTACAGAGTTTATGTTATCAGCTAACAATACGACACTAAGATCCCCATCTTGCAGGATGCTTTGTCACACCAACAGGTAACGAGTTAGTCTAGATTGACACACTCTGGATACATTATAAGGCTATCCTCAAGCACGCCAGAGTGGTTCCCAGTCGTTACAACGCTCCAGGAACCTCTACCTGGTTCCAGGTACCTGCTACACTGGCTCCAGGTACCTGCTACACTGGCTCCAGGTACCTCCACCTGGCTCCAGGTACCTCCACCCGGCTCCAGGTACCTCCATCCGGCTCCAGGTACCTCCACCTGGCTCCAGGTACCTCCACCTGGTTCTAGGAACCTCCATCCGGCTCCAGGTACCTCCACCTGGCTCCAGGTACCTCCACCTGGCTCCAGGTACCTCCACCTGGCTCCAGGTACCTCCACCTGGCTCCAGGAACCTCCACCTGGCTCCAGGAACCTCCACCTGGCTCCAGGAACCTGCTACACTGGCTCCAGGAACCTCCACTTGGCTCCAGGAACCTCCACCTGGCTCCAGGAACCTGCTACACTGGCTCCAGGAACCTGCTACACTGGCTCCAGGAACCTCCATCCGGCTCCAGGCACCTCCACCTGGCTCCAAGAACCTGCTACACTGGCTCCAGGAACCTCCATCCGGCTCCAGGTACCTCCACCTGGCTCCAAGAACCTGCTACACTGGCTCCAGGTACCTCCACCTGGCTCCAAGAACCTGCTACACTGGCTCCAGGTACCTCCACCTGGCTCCAAGAACCTACTACACTGGCTCCAGGAACCTCCATCCGGCTCCAGGTACCTCCACCTGGCTCCTAGAACCTGCTACACTGGCTCCAGGTACCTCCACCTGGCTCCAAGAACCTGCTACACTGGCTCCAGGTACCTCCACCTGGCTCCTAGAACCTGCTACACTGGCTCCAGGTACCTCCACCTGGCTCCAGGAACCTCCATCCGGCTCCATGTACCTCCACCTGGCTCCTAGAACCTGCTACACTGGCTCCAGGTACCTCCACCTGGCTCCTAGAACCTGCTACACTGGCTCCAGGTACCTCACGCCGACAGGTATGGTCTAATCATTCCCACAGCCGGGGACAAGAAGCATGTACTTGGGCTCATGGAGAACCCCCTTACACCAACTCCTGACACCTTTGTCAAAATACAACCCACAACAATTGCCTGCCTCCTTTGGTGTCGGTGAAGAGAGAGGGGGCCGCGTGAAACGTGCACAACCGTTTCTGTCCTTCCCGGGGACTGAGCCCGAGTCTTTCGATTGTAAGCCTAGGGCGTAGACCACTGTACATGTGAGAGCGTAACCCAGTTCCTGCTAGGAGTTTACTTATGGAGTAAACTGTGAGCAGGATGGAGATATTCGTAAACAAGCATTGTTTCTCTTGTGATCTTCCTTGTCCTCCTTCACCTCTTCCTCTCTCTCCTTCCTTACCTCCTATTATCTCTCTTTCAGACAAAGTTTGTGGTCAAATGTGTCAATATGGAAATCCTTGTAGCTGCCTTTGCTGTGTTATGTTAATACACGAGAGTAAGTATGGCAGTCGTCTGTATGACCAGGAGAAAGTAAGTAACTATCAAAGAAGGCATCAAGCCGGGAAGGCTATGTAGCATTGATCAGGAGGAAGGCATCGCGAAACACCGCGTACGCCCCCTTCACTTCACACTTCTGTATGAGCCTGTATTGTGAAGAACTGTACATCAATCCTCTTTACCATACCTAAATATACATATTTAAGAGACTCCGATTGATTGATTGATGAAGATTAAGCCACCTAAAAGGTGGCACGGGCATGAATAGCCCGTAAGTGGTGCCCCTATTGAGCCATTACCAGTATCAAGAGATGATACTGGAGATCTGTGGAGGCGCGACTGCACCCTGCATGACGGGAGATGTCTCCCTTATGAATGTGTTAAGATGAAGATGAAGCAACCCAAAAGGTGGCACGGGCATGAATAGCCCGTAAGTGGTGCCCCTATTGAGCCATTACCAGTATCAAGAGATGATACTGGAGATCTGTGGAGGCGCGACTGCACCCTGCGTGATGGGAGATGTCTCCCTAAAAGAGGCTCCTCAAGCCAATGAGCGTTGGTGGAAAACATGCAGACGCCACAAGGTCTCAGCCTCACAACCGGGGCTGTTGCCCACTTTTAGGACACGGAAATGGTGGATGTGAACCCCCCATGATCAGATCACAGGTCTCACTAGTGGGTCCTGCTGCGTGCACCTCGTCGCATCGCCGCCACGGACGCCATTGCTACACTGCCACTATTTCCCCACAATTATAACTCACGAAAAACTTACGAAGATTACTGATCACGATATTATTTTAAAGAGGTTGATTCTTAATACAATATATATTGTGTATATATGTATATATATTTTATATATATATATATATATATATATATATATATATATATATATATATATATATATATATATATATATATATATATATATATATTAGGGCCTTCCAAAATAGGGTAAGTGCTTACATTAGGTCACTTACTTTTCACCGTTCAGCATTCCATATTTCTGCACAGTCATAATTGTCTTGAAGATTGTCCTCATATCAGACCATCAAACAGTAATAGAAATTACATGTAAAATAATGACTCCTCTCTGATCAGACATCAGGTTACAAGTGAAAACAACAATATTTACAAAATATCCAACACTACTAACTTCATATATAACCATTACCCATAATTCAGTTGACGAGTTATATATATGAGGCTTAAACCAAAGTCTCATCTCAGTATAGAGCAGTGCATTAACAGTGACGATCGAAATTTTGACATGAATACCATTGTGAGTTATATATATATGCAATAAAAATACGTCAGAAAGAAACTAGCATCATAAATTAAACTACATTGCAATTCAGATAAGGATTTCCACACCTAAATAATAGATCCAGATCCTGTCAAGCTCAAACATTCAGAACCAGCCGTTTTTTCCGTTAAATCTCCTCCAAATTTCTAAAATTAAGACCCAAATGCAAATCAGGATTTTCCCTTTAAATTTTAAATGAACAATGTCAGACCACAGAGGAAAAATGAAACACGAATTTCCTTAAGTACTTTCGTATATTAATACATCTTCAGAAGGAGTGCATTAATGTAGAATGTATTAATATACGAAAGTACTTAAGGAAATTCCTGTTTCATTTTTCCTCCGTGGTCTGACATTGTCACATTTTTAATCACGTGTTTATTTTCGTGATATACACACATTTTAAATGAAGTATATTGCAACTATATATGTTGCACATAAAATAACTTGTATGTATTAATAAGTTACTTACCTTCAATAATTCATCCAAATTAACCCAACGCAGAGGTCACATTACACAAACAAATATTGTCCGACAATATTTCCAATTAATGTAGGTAAACTTATTAAATCCAGAACTCACAATGGCAAAGCTAACAACGCATGTCAAATGTACTCACGTTAAGCTGTCCGACGATCTTGTCGAAGGCCCAGTACCATCGTTCCCTGGCGTTCATCTTCTTCTTGGGCGGGCCCTCCTCCCCCGGCACCCCGCCATCCTCCTCGAAGCTCACGTGGCGCTCCTCGGAGGACGGAAGCGGCGACAGCTTGGCGTCCCGCGCGCCCTCGCCCTCCTGAACGGCGGCGTCGACGTCAGCGGGTCCCGAACCCATTTTCTACCAAGGAAGATGATGGATCAGTTGTCAACAGCAACTGTTTTTGTTACACATATCGAAAAAGTAAGTAAACCTTAACTTAAACATCAGTAATTTCTTCAAGTAAAATAATGTCATCGAAGTAAACATCGAAGTGTCATCGAAGTGAACATTGAAGTGTCATCGAACCTGAAGGCCTTCGCCATCCCGTTCGTCACCAAAAATATATATTTTAATATTAAATAACCGAAAACGACTGGTCATTTTTTTGTAGTGACTGTAAAAGGACCGTCGCAGTGGATGACGCCATAGCCACTGGGTTCGTCAAGTACAGTACCGTTGGGTGTGGCCACTAACTGGACAGGTGACCACAAGGACAGCCTCGCTCCTGGCTACGGGAATCTTTTTCAGTCCCTACAAGTTTATACAAGGAAAAGGTCACATCCACTTTCACTAGAGTGGTGACTAAGATACAAGATATTCACTTCCTGGATTCCAAGTTTCACATACTGTTTTCAAGCTATTTATATATTGTATATAAATTAAGAAAAGATACACGTTAATGCACATTAAAATGCAGATAATAATTTTCCTCACAAGAAACTTGTTTACCTCGCAGTAATTAAAGTTCATATTCACTTTTCCAAGTGGCAAACGTCATTGAAGTTCAAAGCCCTAAGTAGCTCCCGACGCCACGAAGCACTCTAAATAACTGACAAAGTACTGGTGCACGCACACCAGCACGCCATCCGTTGTGATAAGACGTGGTCTTGAGCAAGATGCTCAGCTTAAGCTCTCACCCAGTGCCCTACTATGTTACAATGAGACCGTCGCCTCCGTGAATGATAATAGCCTAGCATGCGTGTGATTCAAGTTCAAGTATGTTTATTGAGACAAGAAAGAAATACTTCTCAAAGGGATGGAGTAGCTTAGGCTATTTCTACCCCCCCCCCCCATGTGTGATATTACACCCAGAACTGTGATACAGAAGGACGATAAGTGCGCTGTGACAGAAATAAAACAAATTTGCATGGTAGTGGTCGAAATAATTACCAAAAATTAAACAAGATATTATAGAAGACTTCATATTAGTAACATAATAATGTTAAGCTCTACACAGGGAAAGCAAGATTCAAGAGCAAGAAAAACAGGACGATTTGTAACACCTGGGGTTAGTATATCTTAGTTCAGCATTAATTTTCGTAACGGAGTTTATCGAGTCCGTGTCAATTTGTACATATTGCCATTGTCACAATATTTTAAATCAATACAGAATTTAACAAGCTTAATTACATAATCTTTTCTTATTTGTGGATTAAGAGGCACATAAGAAAGCATTGATAATTGACAATACACACCCATACATACATGCATAAATCTATTCCTTCTGAAGATGGATTGATTAATACGAAAGTACTTAAGGAATTTCTTGTCTCATTTTCCTTCGTGTGCAAGTATGGCATCACTATATACACCAAGATCATGGTATGTTTAGCAAACGCAAATTTTCTTCTACTGTTTGTTATGCACACTTTACAGTGACCGGCTACTTCAATCATCACTTTATAGGCTATTGTGCAATTTACATCTTGTTGACCAGACCACACACTAGAGAAGGTGAAGGGACGACGACGTTTCGGTCCGTCCTGGACCATTCTCAAGTCGACTGTGATGAGGAATGATTGATTGATTGATAAAGATTAAGCCACCCAAAAGGTGGCACGGGCATGAATAGCCCGTAAGTGGTGGCCCTTTTGAGCCATTACCAGTATCAAGAGCTGATACTGGAGATCTGTGGAGGTGCGAATGCACCCTGCGTGACGGGAGATGTCTCCCTTGTGAATGTGTTGTGATGAGGAAGTAGAGACAGGCAATAAATAGGCAAGAGAGAGGTGGGGAACAAAGTGTAGTAGAGGGGATAGTAGTAGGAATAAGAACTGCAGAATAAGAATTATACTTTAGCCACGTTATTGTGACTCTTCGCCTGCTTTACAACTTGTATTGATATAGTAATTACAATATAAATACTTCTGCATCAGGAATGTCTACAAGTTACAAAGTAAACCTACATTCAGAAATTATCCCCCACATTACTTGTGTAAAGGAAGAAATGTATATGTTTATCTCTCAGAATGTTTGGTAATATGTTTATTGTTTGTGATGTGTATCTATGTATGTATTAACACGATGTACTGAACGGGGTGAGAATAACTTGAGCTACCTCATCCCTTTGTGTGTATTTTACCTCAATAAACTTATTTCAATTTCAATTCAATCCCCCACATTTACCTCCTAACGAGCTTTCTACGAAAAATCATGTTAATTTTCATTACATCGTCTTACACGAATCTTTACGCCTATATAGACCATAATTTGCGTCATATTAAAGCACTTCAACTGGCATTCGCTGCACACATTACAATTAAAGCACTCTATGTCCTGTTTATCTAAATTCGGCTGCAATGTCTTGCCTGCAGTCTTACATCATTCTGCAGCGTCTAAGTATATCAGGGGTACTGCCTGCGCATATTATATCTTAACAAGTACCACGCTTAATGCCTGGGTAACAGCCGATCTCCCCCGAATCAACCTACCACTACACATAAGGGACATAACTGGCCGACCCCTCACAGTGTTCAAGAGAGAACTGGATAAGCACCTCCAAAGGATACCTGATCAACCAGGCTGTGACTCATACGTCAGGCTGCGAGCAGCCACGTCCAACCGCCTGGTTGATCAGTCCGGCAACCAGGAGGCCTGGTCGACGACCGGGCCGCGGGGACGCTAAGCCCCGGAAGCACCTCAAGGTAACCTCAAGGTAACCCTGGCTTTGCGCCCTGGTGAGGTCACTCCAGACCGACGACCAGAGCGTAACTCCATATATAGTCTCCTGAAACTGATGGATGCCTACTACTACCACATGAGCTCCTTCCTCACACGGCGCCAGCATGGTTATGGTTGTTTTAGATTTAACTACTCAGAACAAAGTGTCCATGTAGCACGGGCTATGGCGAGCCCGTAAGCCAGCATGGTTCACCGGCGAGTTTCACACCTGTGTAGTGTATATCCGGTCCTGATACGGGGTAGACCGCGGGACAATTGACGTGTCCGACATGTCAACATCTCCATGTCACCTCTCCTCCATGTCACGTCTCTTATCGCCATTCATTTCCCCTTTGATTTATTAATAATGATATATGGGTAAATTTCATAATTTTTTTTTGCATGAATTTCTAAGGCAAAATTGAATATTGAATTTTTAAGGCAAAACACTATAAATCCATATAAACTTTTTGACCCTTCGAGGATTCGAACCTGGGCGACGAGAAGTCACCTCCACTGGTTATCCAACTCGTTCTCACACTAGGCTGTTTAAAGCAGCGGCCGGCCTCCCCAGACGCATTCATCAATTTTAACATATTGTGTATTAAAAATTGGTTTGTTCTCATATATAAATTATGAATATTATATATAAAAATTCGATATATATAGTTAGGCATAGGTTAGGTTAGGTGTTTAAGTTCTGTTGCCTATTACTTGTATTTGAATTACGTGGGTGAAGCATTTATAGAATTGTGGTTCGAACAGACGACGTGAGCGAAGCACTTGTTCCGGAAGTCTTCAGACGTCATCAGTTGTGAGTCGTGTGTACACCACTTTTCATTCATAAACAGAGGATTTGGCGGCTGGATTAACGAGCTTAGATCTTTGTATGCGAGGACGGGCTAGGTTATCCCATGTCTTCATCAACAAAGATCAAATGTTCATTACTACAGCCACCAAACCTCTTGATGAACGAGAAAGTTTACACACCGACTTACAACCGATGACATGCGTACTTTTCTCGAACAATGATTCGTTCACGACCTCTGCTCGAATTGCACCTCTTTAAATGCTTTACCCACATACAGTAAAGTACTTCAAATACAAATAATCGGCCACAGAATCTAACCCAACCTAACTATTCATAGAAATTTGATATATAATAATAATATTACCTTATATATGAGAACAAACGAATTTTTCAAACACAGTACCATACATTCAAATTAATGAATAAGTCAGGGGAGGACGGCTGCTGCTTTATCGAGCCTCGCCTAAGGGTGTGTTGTGGTATCCAGGACTCATACCATTCCATCATTCCCTCCTCACCCAACACCCACCTCTCGTCACATTCCCTCTCTCCTTCATCTCCCCCTCTCCCCCTGAACTCGCAGAGAGAGGGAACTGAACTCCCAGAGTTCTCACTCCCAGGGAAATAAACTCCTGCAGAGTTCATTTCATATACCTGCACATTTTCATGATTTATTGAAAATGATGACCCGAATTCACAGAAATAAATGGAAGTTTGAGGTTAAAGGCCAGAAGAGGGAAGTCTGGAGGAAAAGAGAGGGTAGAGGGGGGGGGGGAGAATAGAGATAGGGTAAGAGGGGAAAATTGGCGAGATGGGAGGTTATATTCAGATGATTTCGGGGCTTTGCATCCCCGCGGCCCGGTCCTCGACCAGGCCTCTTTTTTGTTACACACCCCCTCAGGAAGTTAACGTGTTTATGACGTATTAAAACGTTCTTACAACTTGGTATATTGGTTCTTATAATTGGTTAGGCGGTGTTAAAACTTGTTCAAACGTTGTACCAACGTCGTAGTTTCGGTGTGTGTTTGTGGCGGGATATAGGACCTAACTATGACCTCACCTCCCCCCCCCCACCTCAAACACAGCAAAACGAGTGAAATACGGGTGGCGTAGTCCCAAGATTTCTTCAACCAAGCATTAACATAAATTCAGTATAACTCTCTTTCTTGTGTGTAATTACCTAAGTGTAGTTACAGGATGAGAGCTATGCTCGTGGTGTCCCATCTTCCCAGCACTCTTTGTCATATAACTGTGTGTGTGTGTGTGTGTGTGTGTGTGTGTGTGTGTGTGTGTGTGTGTGTGTGTGTGTGTGTGTGTGTGTGTGTGTGTGTGTGTGTGTGTGTGTGTGTGAGAGAGAGAGAGAGAGAGAGAGAGAGAGAGAGAGAGAGAGAGAGAGAGAGAGAGAGAGAGAGAGAGAGAGAGAGAGAGAGAGAGAGAGAGAGAGAGAGAGAGAGAGAGAGAGAGAGAGAGAGAGAGAGAGAGAGAGAGAGAGAGAGAGAGAGAGAGAGAGAGAGAGAGAGAGAGAGAGAGAGAGAGAGAGAGAGAGAGAGAGAGAGAGAGAGAGAGAGAGAGAGAGAGAGAGAGAGAGAGAGAGAGAGAGAGAGAGAGACAGAGAGAGAGACAGAGACAGAGAGAGAGACAGAGAGAGAGACAGAGAGAGAGACAGAGAGAGAGAGACAGAGAGAGAGACAGAGAGAGAGACAGAGAGAGAGACAGAGAGAGAGAGACAGAGAGAGAGAGAGAGAGAGAGAGAGAGAGAGAGAGAGAGAGAGAGAGAGAGAGAGAGAGAGAGAGAGACAGAGAGAGAGACAGAGAGACAGAGAGAGAGACAGAGAGACAGAGAGAGAGACAGAGACAGAGAGAGAGACAGAGACAGAGAGAGAGAGACAGAGAGAGAGAGACAGGAGGATTGAATCTTCCTTGCAAATACTGTAACAACTAGACTGTACATTAGAAATTTATACACAACCTCTTGTAGCTAACATTAAAGGCATAATGCAAATTTATCAAAAAAAGTTATTGTGTACAATTGTTGTAAATAAATGAACATAAATTAAGGAATCTACCTGTTGTTCCAGATGAAGGGCATCCTCTGATGCTGTCTGCAGATAAAGCAACAAAAAGTTTAGAATAAATTCATACAGTGAGTAATCAGTAATTGTATATAAACACACAAAAAAGCATGTGAAAATAGACCAGATGTTCCACAATCTTCAATGAAGAATTCAGCAGCTCAGACTTCCTGGGCAATTACAAGGCTAAAACTTATGTGGAGCTGGTTGAGACTCTGGTAAGGAACTATGACACAGTGGGCTGCAGATGTCCCTCAAAGAACATATTCTTGATGATCAACTTCGTTAATTCAAGGAAAACATGGAGGTGTACTCAGAGGCAGGGCAAGCACTTCCACAAGGATATACTGTACTGGAACTTGAATGCCGCTACCATGGACTGCTATAATAAGAACTTGATGGGAGATTACATTTGGGCGCTGATTTGTGAAAGTGATTTACGGTATAATTGTACATCTCGAAAAACCACTCACTCATAAATCTTTTTTTAGTAATTTTTGTATAACTTTAGTATAAATATATGTTAATTTTGATTCGTATGTTGTTTTTCTGACTTTATGTGAATGAAATAAGTAAATTTAAAAAATATCAATGTCCTTGTCACAGAAACAGTCTGAAGGGAATAATAATTGTTTTCTATATTTTATAGGTGTAAGCAATTAGTAAATATCACTTACAACCCAGGAACAAGAATTGTGTTATTAAGCTATTGAGAGAAATCAATTTCAGATAAAGTTATTGAACAATGACCAAGTTTTAACAAATTAAAACATGTTGAACTCGCATTATAAAACTACAAGAGATCCATCGCTGATAAGTCTGAGAAGACCTAGAAGTTATATTACTAACAGCACAAAGGTGATGTGACTTTTGTGTCCACACAATAATAAGCCGATTGAAGTTACATCTAATATCACATTCAGTAATAACAACAGATGAAATGTTGAATCAACACATTAAACATAAAATGTTAAATCAATAACCAAATCTGTGTATTAACAGCACTGAGCTTACCACTGTCATCAACCTCATACCATAAGTGATACACCATAAGTGTTAAAAGCAGGCGGAGAGCTTCATCACTTCAACAAAAACTAATTATAAAGTCTGTATAGTGGGAAGACAAAGATGTTCACCTTTTGAGCTGGTGTCTGGTCAGGAAGTGTTGGGCCAGGTCTGCTTGGGTCGCTCAGCACCTGACACACAGAGAGAGAACACATAGTAACAGGCAACACTGAAGCACTATACACGAGGCGTACAAGGCACGAGTGGGAAGTACGACACAAGAGAGTACACAAAGACTTGGCACAGTAATTTTGGGGTAGAAAACCTACAAATGGCTGAGGGAATAGTTTGACAAACATTATTACTGTGAGAGATGTTCAAAATACAAAGCAATATTATACACCCCAAGAGGAAATAATGTTCAGCAGAACATACATATACCATACTGAACATGCACCAGCACATATATGTTTGCACACTTACATGCAATGCAACACGACATGTCTTAAATTGTGGCATTAGATGACAAGAAAATAATGTATGTTTATAAGGAAAAATATGAAATAATAGAAGTCTGTCATAAATATATATAATATGGGAGAAAGTTGTAAAGAATGCATATTAATGAAAGAGTTGTGTTTTAATATTGAAGTACAGTATTACGTATTCAGACTCCTTTTTTAAAATGGTAATATAGTACTGCAATATTGTACAATGCATTTTACTTGTAAATGTTAAAAAACCATATACGCCTTAGAGCAAAATCCTGAGTAAGAAATTTGTATAAAGGGCAAAACAACAATAGCTAATCAAACTGGAAATATACAGAAGATAGCTACCAAAAATCGTAACTGGGATGCTCTTTGTCCCAGAAGAAGAAGAAGAAGCAGATATACAGTACCAATATAACTAGAGGATTTGCACAAGAATGCAGTGCAACCTACAGACTAAATATCATAAGAAATCCTAAGAGGGGGAAATTCACCTTTTGTTCTACAACTGCTGCCTGTTCCTCAGTAGACTCTTGAGGAATCTCTCCCTGACCCTATGAATCAAAGGATAACACCAGCCTCAGGAGAGAGGGATAGCTTATTATGACTTATATGCAGAGTGATACTTTTAAAATTGTCTCATGTATGACCAAAGATAACAAAAAAAAACATTATCAACATTTGTGTTATCCACAGTATGTGCTAGACCATGCAGGCTACTTGAAGTAAGCCTTGTGAGGAGCATTTGTGATCAAAAGGGGTGAGGGAAATTAAATTTATGCATCATGAGGATGGATATTATATATGCATATTTGAAATATTCACCTCTTGACTAGCCTCGGTTGATTTAAGCACCTTTTCTGGGGGTTGGATTCCGATGGTAGGCTGTGGATACATGTGTTATGTTATTAAATACTTGTATTACCAGCTAGGTATATGCCCATACCTTGTCTGGTTATGCACAGAAGAGCCAGATGAAATTGCAGAATAGAAAAATTGGCAAAAGGAAAATGATGATGCAGCAAACACTTATATGCAAAATTGAAACAAAAATCATATCACCACGGTAATGGAAACAAAGGAAAACTAAACATATCTTTAAAAATTGGTTAAAAAAGCAAAATGCAAACAAGAGTATCACGTACACAGCATCTAAAATAGAAATGCACATACAAAAAGGTGGGAGTAAATAGAAGCTTCAGATATAAGAGAGCTGGGAAAGATCAAAACAGGAAATTAAGGGTTTGTGATTGTCTTGTAGTTACTCTCAATTTGAGAGTTAATACTCAAGGTATAGTTAACTAGCATAATGATAATGTTTTTGAAGCCCATTGTACCATTAGGAAGATAATTTTCTCTCTCTTGCAACTTTTGGCACTTTGAATGAACTAAGTCAAGCATTTAAAACTTTCCATGCCAATAATGGTAAAAAAAAAGAGGCATTGCAGTATTTCTCAGTTCAATATTTTTCTAGCTTAGCATGAAAATACTAGTCACTTATACTGAAGTGAAAGCAGGTAAGTAAAAATATCAAATGCAATATGTCGTCAGGTCAGAATTCACAATGCCCATATAGTACATGAGTTCATCACAGCACAGGGAAGGGAGTAAGCAGCCAACTAAATATCATAAATAATGGCCTCAGCTACCACGACACTGAGCCAAGGGAAGCATGTCATCAATGTACTGGCAGTTAAGTCATCACTGTGCCACTGCTAAGTCACCAGCCTTAGCTAGGGTGGGGGATCACCTCGACTGTGACTGCTCCTTCCAAATGATGTTGTGGTGCTTGTTCCACTTCCCCCGTCACCTCGGGAATCCTGGCCAGAACACCCAAAGTAACAGTAGCGGCTGTAGTGGTTGTTGTGGCTGTGGTAAATGGAACAACTGTGGATGTTGTTGAGTAAGGAATTGTTGAAGTAGATGAATAAGTAGTGGTTGTGGCAGCAACAGTTGTGGTAGATATCACAGTGGTTGTAGAAGTAGAAGTGATTATGGGAGAAGCGGTGGAAGTAACAAGGATGGTGTTGATACCGACTGAGGCATCAGTGGAAGCCAACACCTCTGTCTGTTCCACGGCTGATGGAAAAAATACAGACTTCTCTGAGTCTTTCATCTCTTGCTGTTGTTGCTCTTCCATCTGGACCTGTGCCTATCACACATGAGAGAGGAAAGTAACAGTTGAAGTAGAAGTTGGGAAAATATTTTGAGAAGCAAATCTAAAATTAAGTCAGGGAACCAAGCTATACTAATTCTACTTTTAAGCACGAATAGAAAATCTACAAACATACAGCATTATGCAGGTATATACCAGTCTATTCTCACAAATAGACAAAACCAATTACTATCATTTTACTCCAACTCACTTAAAACCTATTGAGGCTGATGCCAGTTTACGCAAAAAAGGCAAAAAACTACACATTTCAAAGGGCTTTTGCTTCCACTAAAACCATTCACTTTGTATGCCTGTATCCTTAGCATACATATAGAAATGCATTTATTATTGAGTGAGGACAGGCTGTATATTCTTCACATTGATGTATGATATTTGCAATAATTTATATATAGCAGTGATGAAATTAAACAGATTTTAAGCAAATATGTGAAATTAAAAGTCTGATGTATTGGGCAAGCACATGTACTATAACACCAAAACTGACCTCCACAGCTTTTCAAACACTTATTGTCAAAAACATAAAAAAAAACAAAATTTGGATTAAATATTAAAGTACTATTTAAAATAGTTTTAAGTTACTTGAATAAGATGATGTTCAAAATATTGTACAATAAAACTGAAAGCAGCAAATACTGTAGACGTAGCTACGTACACAAGAGACTAATTACTTGATTTATGTTACTTGTCAGAGACAAGACAGTTACTTGTCTCTTGAGAAGAGACTTATGTTACTTGTCAGATTGGAGAGAAAATATAATCAGTGTTAGGCATCTTGCTATTTTAAAATTGTATTGGACTTCACTTTAAAAAAATAACGTACAGTATTGAGATAGTAATCAATGAAAATAAATATCTGGTAAATATCTGAGCAAAAACAATTGTTTTGAATGCAAGATGCGACAAACATAATGAGGTTACATAAAAATATCTTGTAACCAACAAATTGGACTTGGATTAATAAATAATGAATGCATCTATTTATCAATACAAAATAAATTAATGACCTGCATGCTGCATGGAAATTGATAAAAATGAATAAAGATTAACCCTTTAGAGGACATAATTCATCTCTGGCTCAACCCCCCATGAATCAATTTTAAAATATAAACATTTTTGCACAAGTTTCTTCCTTACAAATGAGTTAAAAATATTAAAAAAGAATAAAAATAATTTAAATATTCTATATTTTGTATATCTTTGGATATACAGAATTTAAAAAATACTGTAATTAAATTCTGATACTATATCATTATCAGTTCCTGAAATGTAGATTAAATGTTCTATCTTAATTTTTATATTTTCTTTTCATATAGGTAATAACAGCCAGAGGTCAAATCTTGGTAGTTATAAGGATTTATAAGTAAAACCCAATTTCTTTAAATTTGTATCTTGAGATGATTTCGGGGCTTTAGTGTCCCCGCAGCCCGGTCCTAGACCAGGCCTCCACCCCCCAGGAAGCAGCCCGTGACAGCTGACTAACACCCAGGTACCTATTTTACTGCTAGGTAACAGGGGCATAGTGGTGAAAGAAACTCTGCCCATTGTTTCTCGCCGGCGCCTGGGATCGAACCCAGGACCACAGGATCACAAGTCCAGCGTGCTGTCCGCTCGGCCGACCGGCACCCGTGTATAGTCTATGATGTAAGCCAGAAACAAGTTGTATGAACTAAAATACGCCATATGATGTAAGCTGTCATCTAAGGGTTAAGTGTAAGCTAAAAAATATATGACAAAAACATAAGAGTAATTTTTGAATTTTAAGCAGCAAATTCTTTATATTAGTATAAACAAAATTTCGTATGATTTTAGGTTACCAGACAGTAAAATTATAACTATTTTGAAGATAGTGGGTATCTTCAGATAC